GCGAATTGAGCAGGAGAGTCCATCTAGTGTCACCATTTATCTCACAACTAAGGACTCTATCCAGATCAAGGCAAGAGAAGACCTCGCTTCTTCGGCATATGTTGATTTTGGCAGTAATACAATTGCCGATGTCTCTGGTAACTACCTGGAGAGTGGAATTCACATGGTTACTCAAATTGAAATGGACCGGACACCTCCAAGTGCACAAGGTGTGCTTATAGACCTCAGTCAGAGACTAATAGTGATAACCTTTCAGGAGCCCTTGAGGCTGGTTGTGAATGGACCAAAGATTGCTCTCTGTTCCTCAGTGGCTCAAGCAGACTGCTCCCAGTATCTGACAAATGACACAAGCATAACTGAAGAGATTCATGATGAAACCATTGACTACACGATTCACTTCTCTGAGACTCTGCTGGATATGATTCTTACTGATGAGACTTTGGCTACATCTAGCAACAACACTTTCATCTTGCTGCAAAATGACTCACTCTTTGATGTGGCCGGGAATGGTATCCTCAATGTCGTCCTTCCTGTTGATGAATACAGGGGGAAGAGTGATCTTCTTACTCTATCTGGCTTCACATTTGATATGGAGGTTGGTATCATATCACTAACGTTCTCGGGCATTGCTTTTGCGGATTCGTTCAACCCCATTGGAATCGTCATCCAAGCAAACATGGAAAGAGGTGATGGACCATACTATGCTCTCACTGAGGGTACCTACACCAATAGTAACAACAGTGCAGTGATTGATGTCACACTCTCCCTAGAGGATATGGTAGCCCTCAATACTATACCTGGTCTTGGTACGATTCCTGATGACACATACTTGACCATGCAAGCATCTGTCATTGATGACACCAGTGGAGTAGATGTTATAGCTGTTACTGACAGGAAGGCCGTCATGGCAAGTGAAGTTTTTGCAGACGATTCTGCACCTTCTCTACTGAGTTTCGCATTAGATCTGAACCTAGGTGTCCTCAACTTGACATTCTCTGAAGCTATTAACGTAACAAGTCTGAATACTGGAGAAATTGAGCTATTTTCATCCCCCGATCCCAATCCAACTGTTTTGCAGCTTACAGGTGGTACCTCTGAGCGCTCGCCTAATGGCCGAATTGCTACAATTACACTAACACAAGATGATCTCAATCAGATAAAGTTGCTACCAGGACTTGGCACAAATCCCTCCAACACCTACATCAACCTCACTGACGAAAGTATAATGGACCTTGCACGAAATCCTCTGGTGGCTGTAATGCGAACAGATGCAGTCAACGCCGTTGCAGTTGTTGAAGACATGACCCAGCCACGTCTTACAACTTATGACCTAGATATGGATAGCGGCATCATTGAACTCACCTTCTCAGAGGCCATCGATGAGAGCAGAGTAAGTTTGAATGGTGTAACCTTGCAGGATGCTCGTAATATATCCACTGGTCCAGGTGGCAAATACTCACTCACAAACGGTACCTTTGAGCTTGTGAACTACACTGTTCTTGTAATTGAACTCTCAGCTGTTGATCTTCTCACAATTCAAAATATCTCATCCCTTGCAACTCGTCGAAGTGAGACTTACATGTCTATCACTAACGACTCATTCTATGACACAAGTGGGAATTCCGTCGTGGAACTCACTGCTGAATATGCAATGACTGTCACTGGTTATGTGCCAGACCAGACAAATGTTGTTCTTGAGAGTTTTTCGCTGAACCTTGAAGAGAGGAACATACTATTCACGTTTGATGAAGTGGTTCCCCTGAACACATTGGACGTGTCTTCAATCACACTGCAGAGTAACCAGGTGTACACATCTTCAGCTTCCTATACCCTACAGTGCAGTAGCCTTCACTATGAAACACTACTTGTGAGGCGGCTCAGCTTTTGTGATGATGACATCTTTGCTCTTACTCTGGACAGGAATCTCACAACTTCTATCGATACAACATACCTATCATTGGAGTCAGATGCCTTTACTGATGCTGCTAATAATCCAGCAGTTGAGATTAGCAATCTCAATGCTACAAGGGCTGCCAATTTCACTCCTGACGAATCGGGCCCAGTTCTACTGAGATTTGCACTTGATTTAAATGCCTCAAAAATTGTGCTCACTTTTGACGAAATTATCAATGCTAGTTCATTCCAAGTGACAGAAGTGACTCTGCAGTCGAGTGCTGTGTATGATTCAACTATCAGTTCATACACTCTGCAGAACAGTATTGCGAGTGAGGAAGACAGCAATATCATCACCCTGTCCTTGCCTCCAACTGATATTGATGGACTTGTTCTTCAAAGCCAACTTGCGACTGGTCCTCAAAATACCTATATAAATATCAGTACAGGTGCACTCTTGGACTATTACAGTAATGAGCTACTCACGTTACACCCAGCTCATCAGGTCAATCAGTATATTCCTGATGTGTCGGCACCCAACTTGGATAGGTTTGAGGTCAACCTGACTACAAGGGAGTTACTTTTGACTTTTAGTGAATCGGTCAACGTATCAACTCTAGATATAACGAAAGTGACACTGGAGAATGCTGATGGTTCTGAGGCATATCGCCTCACAACTAGTGACAGCTCGAGTGAAGATGGTACTGTAGTGATTATTGATCTTAGTCAAGTTGATTTCAACAACATTGCTTCCAACACAGCCTTGTACACATCAATGGACAATTCCTATGTCTCACTGGCTCGGAATGCATTGGCTGATGCTTCTAACAATTTTGTTTCTAGTATTCCAAGGACGCAGACGTCTGCATACGGTCCAGACAATGAGAGTCCCACATTAGTCAGCTTCACACTTGATGTTGATTCCGGACTTCTCATACTTTCTTTCAGTGAGACAGTCAACGTTTTGAACCTGAATGCATCAGGAATCAACTTTGTGAATGATAGCACTGCTTCCCTAGATGATCCATCAACCTATGTATCACTGAGTATTGCCACATCCATGGTGTCCTTTACTGACACTGTTGAAGTCAGTTTGGTGCCCCAAGACCTGAATGCTATAAAGGCCAACCCTTATCTTGCAACCAATAACAACACTACCTTTATCCTTATCACAATGCATGCTGTCACTGATATGTCCAACAATCCAGTTGTGCCTGATACTATTCAAACCTCAGACTACAAACCTGATGAAACCCAGCCAACTCTTTCAGTATTTAGACTTGATCTGTCAACAAGGAGAGTAATATTTGAGTTCAGTGAAGCACTTGATCCAGACATTGACATCAACCGAGTCGAATTGCAGAGTGCACGCCTGAAACCTACCAATGAAGGAGAATTGAAATTCACTGAGACCTCCACCCTGACCCTCACCAACTTCAGCACTGTTGTGATCAACCTAAGCCTCCAAGATTACACTAGAGTGATTGACAGTGGCTACTGCAACTCTGTTGACAACTGCTATGTCACCTTCAGTGCTGCCTTTGCCACTGACACTCGGGGTCTCGATGTGATACCTATAACAGATGGGAATGCTGGAAAGGCTGTAGCTCTAGAAGAAGACCTGACACCTCCAACACTGGCAAGGTTCATTTCATTTGACTTTAACTCGGGTGAACTGGTGCTGCAATTCTCAGAGGAAGTTCGTGTGTCCACCCTCAATATCACTGCACTTTCTGTGAGGCAAACTTTTGGAGTAGGTGCAAGAGGAGTGGAGTTCACTGACGCACATTTCTCAGAAAATGACAACACAACAGTGTCTATCACACTGTCTTCAGATGACCTTAACTCTGTTAAGCTGGAAGAACTTCTATGTCGACAAGAAACGTCTTGCTTTGTACGTTTTACATCTCACTTTGTAGAGGACGTAAAGGGTAACCCAGTAACGGCTGTCGAAGGTGGTGTTTTTGTTGTTAGTGAATATGCAGAGAACATTGGTCCTGATACCAGCCCACCTGTTCTTGAGTCCTTTACTCTGGACTTGGATTCCTCTGTAATTCAATTGTACTTTGATGAAGTTGTCGACTCGGCTTCCCTTGATGAAACACATCTCACTTTCCAAGAGAAGGTGAATAGAACTGTTTCCTACACACTTACTAACATCGAACGCATAACAATCGACCCAGCCACCCTGGTAGAAGCTAGACTAGTAGATGCTGACTCTGTTGCCATCAAAGCTCTGACGGACCTGGCTACCAGCGTGGAAAACACCTACATTTCATTTGGATCAATGCTTATACGAGATGTAGGTGCTGCTGGAGGAGGTGATGGTCAGAATTTCATTGCTGAAGTACTGGACAGTGAAGCTATCAGAGCCAGTGACTTCGACCCTGACACAACACCTCCTCAAACCATAATTTTCACCGAACTTGATATTGATTCTGGATTCTTGCGAATATCAGCCGAAGAGCCCCTATCTGCCGATGTTGTGACAGAGAACATTACACTGCAGTCGAGAATTGACAATGACATGGTAAAGCACACACTAGCAGGTGGAACGGTGACCTACTTGGACATCAGCACTAGAAGACAAATTAGAATTCAGCTGACGGACCCTGATTTTCAGGCAATCAAGCTACTGACAGAGCTGGGATCATCACCTTCAAACAGTTTCCTTTCCATGGAATATGGAACACTCGGCGATGTTTCTGGAAACTTGGCGGGTGCCGTCCCGACATCAGATGCTCTTCCTGTCGTGGACTTCACTCCAGATTCCACCCCACCTGAACTGACCAGTTTTGACTTGGATATGAACAGCGGCATCATACGGGCCACTTTCAATGATATTGTAGACAGCGACAGTCTGCAGGCCACTCGTCTGAGTGTTGTGGGCTCAAGTACTCCTGGTGTGAATGATAGTTACCAACTAACAGGTGGATTTACAAGCAGCTCTGATGGCTTTGTTATTGCCATTCAAATTATGCCTTATGACCTCAACTGCCATCAAATCAAATACCTTGATTGCTACTGATGAAAACACCACATTTGTTGAAATCAGCGCTGAACTTATTGCTGACTTGGCTGAACTAAATGTAAAGGCAACTATAGAGATGGTAAATGACTACACTCCTGATACGACAAGCCCAAAGGTGAATGGATTTGAACTCAACATCAATGATGGAACTCTGGTGCTCAGTTTCTCTGAAGCAGTTGACCAAAATGCCACGGATGTCACGCAAATTCGAATTCAGAATGGTGAAGATCACACTTCCCTGTATGTACAGCTTCAAGGCGGGGAGATAGAGACCAACGACATCAATACAATATTCACAATCCACCTTGAAGAAGATGATCTAAACTCTATCAAAGAAGAGACTGATTTGGGCACTACAGCTAGCAATACTTATCTTGCCCTTACCTCAGAGACAGCAAGTGACTTCAGCGGCAACCAAATTGAAGAAATCCCTCTGATTAGTGCTTTGCCTGCACAAGACCACACCATTGACATGACACCACCAACCCTGGAAGACTTTGAGTTTGACATGAACTCGGGTATTTTTATGCTCACATTCTCAGAGGCAGTCAAGGGAAGCAGCCTCTTGAGTGAGAGACTAATGCTACAAAGCTCAGCTGCTTCGATCCCTGGTGAAGTCCACACATTGTCATCTACAGACTCACATTCAAACGAGAACAGTATCATTGTGAGTTTAACTGTGACTGATGGGGACCTAAACGCCATCAAAGCACTTCCTAACATTGCGACATCTAGGAACACAACTTATCTGAGAGTTCTCGTCGGTGCAATCAGTGATACCAGTGACCAGTTAATTGCCACTCTGCCTGATGGACAAGCTGTCCCTGCTGGAAATTTCACTCCCTGATACAACTCCTCCTGAGCTGAGAAACTTTGTTCTTGACTTGGATGGAAGTGTAGCTACACTTATCCTGACCTTCTCTGAGACAATTTTGTCTTCAAACTTGAGTTTGTCAGGATTAACATTAGTAAACAGCCGCAGTGAAGGTGCTACTGCGATCATGTTAACTTCAGGTGAAATCTCTTCAGTTAATAATGAAGTAGTCTCAGTTGCACTGAGCATGCTGGATTCAAATGCTATCAAGTTGGCAAATAATATTGGTACATCGAGGGAAAACACGTTCATTGTTGTTGCAAATGGAACAGCAACAGACCGGGAAGAACTTCCCCTGGCTGAAGTGATTTATGATGATGCAATAATGGCAATCAGTGTACTTCAAGATGACACCCATCCAACAATAGATGGATTCGAGTTGGACCTCAATAGTGGACTACTTCGTTTGACCTTCAGTGAAGTAGTCAAGGAGAGTTCTTTCAACTTTTCAGGCATAACACTCTTATCGTCTCCTGTTCTCCCATCTACTCTAGAGCTGACTGGAGGTACCGCTCGACCATTTACTGGTTCTATTGTGGATATTGAATTGGCCAGAAATGATTTGAATGAACTGAAGATCAAGACTGTGGATGTACGAAGCTTGTGCTCTCAGGACCTCGACTGTTATCTTGCTGCTAGCTCAGTAACTGTCACTGATATATCTGGAAATGATGTTGTCCCTATTTCAATTGGAGAAGTGGATGAGCCAGCCATTGTTCATGTTTCAGATACCTCTTCCCCGGTTCTGGAATCATTTGATGTTATAACTGATCTCTCTGCTAGCAACCAGTTCACAGTTGTTCTACATTTTGACGAGCCCGTTCAGTCAGGAGATGTCACACTGGTACAATTTCTATCTAGCAATGAGACAGATTCGCTTGTGTACAATCTGACATCATCCAGCTCAATAGTTACAACTGAACTGGATGCAGACATTACAATCAGTTTGGATGAAAGTGACCTTGATGCACTCATTGCTCTGCCACCAATCCTTCGTCGAACAAATTCCACATTAGTTCGATTGTTTTCTGAAGCTTTCAGTGATGTGAATGGGTACACCAATGAACTGTTGACTCCTATTGAAGTGTCAATACTGACCGGTGACTATGTACCACCTGTTTTGCAGTCATGGACCTTTGACCTAAACTTGCTTCAGATAGAACTGACATTCAGTGAACATGTGAATGCCTCAACAGCTGATCCAATATTTGTTGTCCTGCAAGATTCTGAAAATCGTTCGTCACAATTTGCACGACTTCCAAATACAGTCAGTGTTGAACAAGGTCCTTCAATGGACATTTTGCTACTCTCCTTGAATCAGTCCACAATAGATCTAATCCTTAGAAGAGGAATTGGCTACGATCCTAGTGGTACTTACATTTCACTAGATGCTGAATTTGTTCAAGACTTTGGTCTCGTAGAGTCACTTACCGTTGAAGCTACTGAAGGCATCATGGGAGTTATTGTTGAGGATATTTCTGCTCCAACACTACTGAGTTTCACCTACCAGTCAAATCCAAGTGTCTTGACAATGACTTTTGACAAAGCACTCAATATTTCCACCTTTGATCCAACATTTATAACACTGCAAGCCGCCCCTGGTAGAAGTGCAGTCAGTTATACACTAACTGGTGGTTCCTTCCCCTCGACTGATACGGATGTTGTGCGTTTGGAACTAACTAGTGAAGACCGTAATAGCATACTGTCTCTTGATGGACTTGCTGTGTCAAGAAGCACCACGTACCTCTCCGTGGGTTCATTTGTCGTCATAGGTCTAAATCAGCTTCACAACCGAGCCATTTCTCCTGATGCTCCACTGTTGGCCTCTCAATATGGAGAAGATGTGAACGCTCCCACACTGTTAGACTTCAATATTGATCTGAATGCCGGAAGTCTTGTGTTTTTCTTTGATGAGACTGTTGATATTCTCACATTTAAAGTCACAGAGATCACCATCCAAGACACTCTCTCATCGACCCAATCAAGTCGTAGACTCAGTTCAGGAACCTATCCAAGCATTTCCACAAATACTCTCATGTACCAGCTCTCTGAGTCTGACTTGGACTACATCAAGACAAACAATATATGTCGCACGGAAAGCACCTGCTTCTTATCCTATTCAAATGAGACTGTGACTGATATAGAAGGAAATGGGGTGACTCCAAGATTAGATGGTAATGCCTTATCTGTCACAAACATCACAAGTGACACAACTTCCCCGGAGTTGATAGAGTTTGTTGAATTTGACCTAAACACCATGGAAGTTACTTTACTCTTCAGTGAGCCTTTGGATGAGTCTAGTTTTGATGTAACAGGATTCCGACTCCAGTCACTGTTTGAAGATCCAGTGGCAAACTATACTCCCCAAAATTCGACATTGAATGTGACTGTTACAGGGCGGTACTTGATATTCACTCTGAGCGACTATGACCACGTTGAGATCAAGGAGCAGAGGTATCTCTGTTCCATCCGAGGAAACTGCTATGCTTGGGTCAACTCAGACCTCATCAGTGATGTGTATGGTAACATGGTGTCCAATGCTAGCAACCAGGAACCTGGAAGAATAGTGAGTCAACTCAGAGCCGACACCGAACCTGCCGTTCTGGAAAGCTTTGTTCTTGATCTGAACAGCAATAGTCTTATACTAACATTCAGTGAGCCCGTCCTGCCATCTTCTCTGGACGCAACAGCCATCACACTACAAGCTGAAAGAAACACCACCAACACCTCACTGCAGATACTTGTATCTGAAGGAACTGCAAAATCACCCGCTCAACGAACTATCACTGTTGACCTAGTACCTGATGACATAAATGAATTGAAACGGTTGCCATTTGCCACCACACCTGAAGATACATACATTGCTGTTGGCCAGAGTTTGATCAATGACCTCGCCTTTGTAAGCAACCCCACACAGGAAATACGGACTGACAATGCTAAAAGAGCATATCAAGTCATTCAAGATGCGACTGGTCCGATAATTTTGTCTTCTAGCCTCAACCTCAATGAAGACATCCTTCAGATAACTTTTGATGAGCCTGTTTTGGTGTCAAACTTGTCAGTTGATCACTTGTCACTAAGTGCAACTGAGACTGCAGTTGATGGTATGATCACACTCACAACAGGTACACCTCTTTCCCCTAATGACTTTGATGGAACACTCGTGTTGGACATAAAACTGTCAGACTTTGACGTGAGGCAAATAAAACTTGATCCTAACGGTGTGTTCCCTGACTCAGGGGAATACGACATCTACCTTATTGTCAGTGAAGGTGCCATCGCAGACTTTGCTGAGAATCTGATCCTAAATCAGTCCGTCATCGTTACAACTGCCCAAGTAGGTGATACAACACTGACCGAGCTTCGTTCTTTCAGTCTGGACATGAACACTGGTGTCCTGTTTCTCAACTTCACGGACGTGGTCGATGCTGGCACATTCTACCCTCCAGCACTGACTATCCAAACATCTATGCGGGCAGTAGATGGTGTCCAGTATTCGTTGACCGACTCTACAGTAGTGGACACAGACTCTCAGTCACTTACCATCAATCTGTCTTCTCAGGACCGCCTACGCCTGAGTGAAATTCAGGGATTGGCAGTTAGTCAGGAAACCACCTATCTTGTAATGTCGGCTGATGCGTTTGACGATTACACTGGAACTGATGTGATTGCTGTTACTAATGGCAATGCCTTGATGGCTGCTGCCTACATTGCAGACACTGACGGTATCTCTCTTAGCTTGGCTGTCCTTGATATTGACATGGGAATATTGACACTCAATTTCAGTGATATTGTGAATGCGACCACACTCATACTTGGTGATATTGTCATTCAAAACACTCTATCTTCACCAACTCAGGAGTTTGTGTTGGAAACTGCAAGTGTTACTAGGTCTAGTGATGCGCTATCTATTGATATTGAACTATCAGACGATGACTTAAACAACTTGAAAGCAATGGCAGATCTGACCAACTCTGAAAGTAACACATACATCAGTGTTGCAGAAGATGCTATCCTTGATCTGGCAGACAATGGATTCAGTCCAACTACACAGTTGCTGACAGTGATTCCAGATATATCATCCCCTGAAATTGAGTCTTTTGTGCTAGACTTGAATGTGGGTGTGTTGCACATCACTTTTAGTGAGACAGTCAACCAGACTTCATTCGATCCTTCGGAGCTAACCATTCAACATAGCCAGATATCCGATGAAATTTCTGTTGCTTTAAGTGGAGGTGCTGTTGAGAGTGTTTCAAACACTGAAATCCAACTGACGCTTGTTGATACTGATTTTGATGCCATTCAGCTTTTAGATGAGCTTGGGACACTTCCTGAAAACACTTACCTCACTGCAGAGAACACCACTGTTTTTGACAATAGCAACAACCCATTGTCAGTCATAAACTCTAGCTTTGCTATGCGGGCATTCGATGTCCTTGGTGACCAAAATAGCCCTGTCCTACTTTCTTTTGAGCTTGACATTGATGCTGGAATTTTGATACTCAACTTTTCTGAAGTTGTTGATGCCGAAACATTAAATATATCTGGAATCTTGTTTTTCAATACACCACTACCTATACAGAGAAGCGAGTACCGCCTGTCGGGTGTGGCAGTAACACCAGAAAGCAATGCAACTCTACTTGTGGAGCTATCATTTGAAGACCTTAACAGTATCAAAGAGATGACAACACTTGCTTTGACACGGGGCACAACTTGGCTCTCTATTGACTCAACTACTATTGCTGATCCAGCTGGAAACCGTGTAGTTCCTAACAACGGAGTAGGTGCTTCTGATTTTGAACCAGACACTACTCCTCCAACTCTATCCAACTTCACCCTAGATCTCAACTCATCTAGCCTCCTCCTGACCTTCTCTGAGATTGTAATGGCATCCACGTTTGACACGTCCTCCGTTACCATCCTATCTGCTATGACAAACGTAACGTACACACTACAATCTTCTTCTGTACAAC